TGAATGCCAAAATCTCACCCCGAAGTATAGCCATGTGCCCCGGAGAGAAGAACTTATAAATAAACTTTTCTGGCAACTTATCCCAAGTGTGAATGGAATGGTTCGGCAAATGTTCCAACCAATCTAAAGCTTTCCCACATAGAGAGAAGGGAAAAAGCCTTAGCCTCAATGCATCCTCGGAGATATTTGTTTGTTTGCTCCCCCAACAAGTGTCCACAAACCCCTTCAAATGTTTGTATGCGTTTTGACTTGGAGCACCGGTGAAGAAACCTCGTTGCTCTAGCAAAGTGAGCATCACATTGGTGACTTGAAAGTTGCCCGCCCTAATACGGGGAGGGACTATTGCACTAACATATCCTTCATTGGATAACACCCGGTGTGAAGTCGCTCATGGTGGGGATGGAGGTGGAGCGGGGACATTGTCATGAGGCACTCAGCCTCTTTTACTGGCTTGAGGTTCAAGAGGAACCTCATCAATTTGCTCATCCTCGACGTCCACATTCCCCAAAGCAATATTTTCGAGCTCATTGTTTGCCATGGTTGTACCTATTTTCTCAAACAAGTTAGTAACAAAGAAGGAAAAGAAGATATTCCAAAAACACATCCAAAAATATAGTTAACACCGTTTTTAACTCCCCGACAACTACGCCAAAAACTGATCACGTCCAAAATACACCTCAAAAGAGGTATGAAACGGTCGTATGCAATAATAGAAACCCAACTAAGAGTCGGGGTCGAATCCACAGGGAGCTAAGATGGGAGTTAGGGGTATACATTTCGAGTTGAGCAATTGGATTTTCTAGATTGCACTTCCACACAAAGATATATTTTTTTATTTTTAATTTTACTCTAATGATTGCAAAATAAAGGAAGACGACTAGAGAAAATTATTTTAAAGGTTTTTCCAAATGGATAAAAAGCCTAGGGTTGTGACCATGACCTAGGTGTTTGCCTAATGGGATAAAGACTTTAATGCTTGTTCCGTTGATTGGGGTATATTATAGCTATCAACTCTAATTTACCCACTCAATACCTCTCAGTCAGAGAGTGATTTTTCCTAATTTGGCTTTCTCAAGACCAAATGGGTATCACCCAAAACAGTTGATAAGAGCTCAAGTCGGGTTATTACTATCTCTAGGTTGAACCCTTTAATTGGTTAATCAATATCTCAATTGACCCAATTCCTTATTAGCTAAGTTATCCTAGACTAGGTCTCTCTTTCTCAAGTAGAGACTAAGTCAAATAGGCATGAACTAATGTTTGCAACCATTAATTCTACAATTAAAGCATGAATTAAGCTAAATAATAAACACACAATCATAAACAAGCACTAAATTAGATACCCATAAGTTTTACACACTAGGGTTGGGTCACAATCCTAGTAAAAGTCTAGCTACTCATAATGGGTTTTGAAGAAAATATGAAAGAAAAACTAATTAAACTCATAATGGAAGCTAAAAATAATTAAATCTATTATAAATACACTAAAGTAAAGTAAAACTTCCTAAAATAGTAAAGAAAAATGGCTACAACAACTTAGAGGTTTTTAAATTTGACCTGATTTTGTGAAACTCGTCTATTTATACAAAGCTAAAAATCTCGGACAAAAATACCCCTCGAGAGGTTCTGCGGCCGCACAATTCCATGTGCGGTCCGCAAAGTTTTTCATCTGATAGGAGCTGGAGTTCTGCGGCCGCACAATTCTGAACTGCGGTCGTAAGGCATTCTTCTGCGGCAGCAAGGCAACTCTTCTGCGGTCCGCAGATTTAGGACTGTGACCACAAGGCACTCTTCTGCGACCACACAATTCTTATGTGGTCCGTAATTCACTGAGGCTCTGGACTTGGTCTTTTTGCATACTCTCTGATCTTCGACTCTTAGCCGAGCTTTGCGGTCCGTAATTTTCGCAAATGTCTGCTACATTTTCCCTCTTTATTTGCGGCCGTAGATGGAATTCTGCAGTTCTCAATTTCTTTTGCGGACCTCACATTTATGCTTTCGCAGTATTTATTACCTTGTGCTTCAGACTACTCCTTTTTGAGTCGGGTTTCATCTCGGGAGACCAACTTCAAGCATTCCTGCAATTTTGTATAATTTTATTAATTTTGGGAACACAATTCAATGCTTTTAGACTGAAATAAAAGCTAAAAGGCGCTAATAAGTAGTTAAAATCCCCACTTATCAGGTTCAGATTTTCAGATAAAGTTTTGGGAAAAGGTCATAAGAATTCCCTTGAATTAAGGCCAAATTACCAGTTACACAGTTCTTATTACCCTCTGAACTTTTTTTAAATAGAATAAATATACCATTGGATGCTGAGGTAGCATAGAAGGTGTGCTCACTCTCTTGGACGCATGTGGGAGAGCAAAAAAAGTTGATTTTTGATTTCCTGTATCATTTTTTAATTTGTACTTTATAATTAATTACACTTAATTAATTAAAATATTAACTTAATTAATATATTTAAATTTTTGCCCTTTCTATTTTTGTGAAATAGAGTCAAGATTTTCTTTTTATTTCTTTCCTTTTTGTTTTGTTGAAAAAGGGATCAACTCGCTGCCTGCAAAAACTCACCGGCCACCGGAGAAATCATCAATAACTCCCCTCACCTTCAAGTCACCAGTGAGCACAAAGCCATCAATGCCCCTGCTTTTACATCAGTGGCGGAGTCACATTCAACTAATGGGTGTCAATCGACATACCTTCGTCGAAAAATTATACTTTATTGCTAGATAAATTTTTTTATTTCATGTATATTTATTATACATTGATTTCTCTTAATTTTACGGCATATTTAAATTCTTATATTTTGATATCATGTAGTGAAAATGCTGGCATAAGTCATTGGTCTTTATTGATTGTTTTTTCCAGTCATCTTTGCTTGTGAAAAGGGCAACCCACGGGAATGTTTTCCAATTTCTTCAATGGAAAGGGATTTCCAGTTTATTTCTCCAGTTCTTGTCGTATTCCTAAGAGACAATTCATTGACTCAAAGACCAAAATTGGATCTTAATATAACAGTTGAATTGTCTTTAAGTCACATTCCTTGATTTGAGTCTGAACTACTCTATTACCTATGTAAACAAGGTACTCCTCTTTGTACCAAAAGAGAAGAAAAAGGAATCGTGTATATCATTAATAAAAAATTGAAATTGCCTTGGACACAAGGCATTTTGAATAAACAGATCCAAAGATTAAAATAAAAATGTTCGCTCCAGTGAAAGTTAATAAAAACATATTTTGAATTAAAATAACTATGATCATATGCAGTATAAATTATCCAATAAAAGTTGGGGTCGAATCCGCAATAAACAATATTTAAGGCGAATAAGCTAGTTGAAAAATTGTCTTTTACCTAAGGAAATTATTATTGCCCCTTTGCCTATTCTCTATTCAAATTATCTCTTAGTCTTGCCTGTGAAAATTATGAAACAGAAATGTAGGGATATGTATTATCTGTCCCCAGGCAAAGCATAAGCTAATATGTCAAAATGAGAATCTTAAGATTTTAAAGCATGTAGTTATTCATAAATTAAATTTGTTTCCAATATTTTCATTTCCCTACATTACATCACTCTACCTAATCAGTATTTAGTCAATTTTAATTTGTGATGATAAATAATTAACGTAATCAAAATAAATTTTATAGTTATTTCAAATAAAAACAATATATTAACAGTAAACCCAACATGATGTCTACTATATATGGAAATAAATGAATAAATAGATCTCTAAGTTTCCAACCATAAAACTTTATTTTAAACTACTTCTTTTTCTTCTAAAAATTATCACTCCAAAATTACCAGAAACAAATGAGCAATAATAAGAGATATTTCCAGTTTATTTCATTTACCTTGCTATGGAGAATTTGTCAAAGGTCATTATTGGTCTTTATTGGTGTTTGTTTTTCCAGTCCTCTTTACTTGAGAAAAAAGGGAACCCATTGGAATGTTTTCCTGTTTCCTCCAATGAAATTACTACGTCTTTTCATGTACCAAAATGGTCTAAGAGAATCCGCATTTAAAATTTTAATATCAAAAGTTGAATTTTCTTAAGTCACGTTCCTTTTTTATTTTGAGTCTTTTCTTTATTTAAGTCGCATTCCTTTATTTGAATCTTAACTACTACACTAAAAAAAAAAAAGATGTACTCCATTAAATACCAAAGTGAAGACAAACGACTCGTGTATCCCCTAAAAAAACAAAACAAAAAGAATCGAAAAGGAAATGGCCTTCCACACACGGCATTTTTTGTCCAGCGCGGAGCTAGCCTTTCGACTACGGGATTGATCGAATTCATTAGCTTTAGTCCATATTTTATATTTATCTTAAAAAATTTATTAAATATATATAAATTATTACTTTAAAACTCAGTAACATAAAAAACTAAAATTCTAAATCCATAAATATCAAATCGTAACTCTGCATATGCTTTTGTCTACACAAATTATTAATGGCCCTTGGACCGGCATCTCTTGCCTATATTCTATGCAAAGCATCTCTTACTACTTATGCTAATTAAGTGATACACTAGGGAGATGAATCTATGGCTAATGGACTTTTTGCTTTAATCCATTCTTTTTCTTCTTTGTGTTAGGGTTGATAATAGCCGTGGATGTTTGATTTATCATATACATATACAGTACAACCTCTCTAAATTAATATTGTCGAGACCATAAAATATTATTATTTTGTAAAGGTATTGTTTAATCGATAAATTAACATTTATTAATTTAAAGAGTGTTTTCGAGATTCAATGAAGATTACTTTTGGATACAAGTCGGATACATTAATTTCTTCGACGGAAAGTGCATTACTTCTTTGGATTTCTTGAAAATGAGTGGTCCATAAAACCTATATACATAAATATTTAATTTACCTATCAAGATTCTAATTAAACTTACCTATAAATCTACGGTTATAACTTGATCATAAAGAGTGCTTGGATATATTGTTAAATTCTATGGATCGAGCTATGTAAATCCTAACTGAGAAGAAAGGGAAGAGAAGAAGGGAATGGACTGAATTAAAAATGCAGAAACTGATTCTGTTAAAACTGAAAATACACTGCACAAACGACCCCTATTTATAGAAATGACTAACCGACTTTGGACTCCTAACTACCTAGTGTTAAATAGACTAAACTACCCTTAATTAGTTATACATTAAGTCACCCCTCTCACAACACTCTCCCTCAAGCTAGGCGGTGTAAACACATCAAACACACCTAGTTTGGAACTCAAGTACACATGTTGAATTCTGCTTAATCCCTTTGTCAACAAATCAGCGTATTGTTCTCTTGTTCCAACATACTTGGTCGCAACCAGTCCTTCTAATATCTTCTCCCTTATAAAATGACAATCTATATCAATATGTTTTGTTCGTTCATGAAATACTGGATTTGCCGCAATCTGTATTGCTGCCTTGCTGTCACAATGAATGTTCACAGGCAACTAAACCTCAACTCCTATCTCCTTTATCAGCCTCACTAGCCAAACCAATTCAGCAATTGTGGCTGCCAAGCTCTTGTATTCTGCTTCAGCAGAACTTCTAGATATTGTTGTCTGCTTCTTAGATTTCCAGGACACTAGCGAACCACCTAGTTTGATCAAGAAACCTGTAACAAACCAGTTATTCAACACTTCTATTACTTCAACCGCGAAATGGGATTACAACTCAACTCAAAACTATTACAGGAATTAGAGATGCTAAACAGAAATACAAATAATAGAGAAGAAGGGATGAGAAACTCAGACTAGGAATTGGGATGAGAGGATATAGAACACTCGAGAAGGAAGATGAGGAGAAACAAATATTTTACTCTAACAATATGCATAACCCCAAATAACAGACCATTGGCCCTTATAATAGAACTATTCTTACGCCTACTACTCAACTAGGATCCCAAATTAACTTGGCTCTGCTGCTTGTTCTCGGCCCAATAACTCTAGTCAGCCCAATAGCTACTTGTGTGAGATTGGGCTGATATTGATTCATAATTACAATACTCCGTCCTCAATAAGAACCTTGTCCTCAAGGTTCAAGTCAAGAATATTGATGCTCGCAAGCTCCCAACCAATTATCTCAAAACCAAGGCATGCTTTACGACTTGAGGAAAATATATGATATGGTACATTTGTTATTAACCGATCAAAACATTGGTCATTGTGTACCTTAATAGATAGCAGCAGATGTATTAACTGGAGTGCCATTGTAATCTTCCATATATATGTCTTTGCTTGCCACCTTGTAGAAGCATTTAGCCGTAAGCTAAATGAGAGATCCCAGGTAAACATTCCAGTAGCTAACCTCCTCCAAAGCATAAACTTGGTTAAATGGAAACTGACTTTTTGCGGCACTTGAAACTCTCCCTCCAAGTTATTGTAAATTTCTCAATCAGTCAAATCATTTAACCGTAATGAATTATAAGAAGAGGATAAGCATGGATTATCACCCAATGTAATGCATACAGAAATAGACATCCTCATATAGCTTATCAAAATGGTTATAGTATCTGCAATGCCCTTTGATGTCCATTCTTCTTCGGCATAAGTTCCTGGTGAAAAGGAAAGAGTCATTGTGTTAGCTTGCACTAGTGGAAAGGAGTCCGCAGTGAAATCCATTATGGTCACAATAGAGTCATTTCCTTCTCTATCAAAAGCAATATTCACATGATATGCCACAATGTAAGGAATAGCCTCGGATAATTGGATGCCAAGAACTCCATCAAGAGCATTGTTAGGATCAAAAGGAATTCTGAAAGCACCATAATACAGACAACACCCCTTAACATGTTCAGACCTGTCGACGCTAGAATTATCCACCTTGAAGTACGGATAAATAATTTTAGAAGCTTGCTCTCCACCATATCTCTCGATTGCACCCTTTTTCGTGACACCGAAAAATGTGTAACTAACACCTTGCACTGCCTGAAGCTTTAATTTATACGCACTCTTCAATTCTAGTACTTCCCACCATGTAACATGGCAGCAAGTGCAGCTACTCCGGGCTGCGTCTTCATGTGATGTTGTGTGGCATCATAATATTCTATGGTGAGGTCTTTCACTAATCTAAAGGGCAATTGCTCGCTCGTCGCACAAAGAGAAGTATTAACCCCACCAGGATCAAAAATAATATACGGCGAAGTAGACCTTGCTTTATGAACTAGACCAGACATCGCAAACAAGATCCTAATGACTCTATTGACCCAAATATTTGGTGACTGCTTGGAATAACTTTGAGCAATTTCCTGGAGCACCCCCTGTACTTTCTCCTCCCGAGCAGGCACTCGCAATTTGCACAACAAGTGTCCTCGTCCATTGTCACACCAATAGTCTAAATGAATTTTGAAATCATGTTGGAACAACAATATATTTTTAAATTCTTCCTTCAAAGTTGGTTTACAGTGAAAGCCTAAGGATAGAAAATTTCCTCCAAACTGTCCATCCTCCAAATTGTTCAATATTAGAGGTGATGACCTTTGTCTTTAAAAACTCCTCATTTCGATATAAATCTTCAGATTCAATATATAAAAGTACACATGATTCAGCCTTAAAATCTTGTCATCTGTCAAACCAATCGTCCACACAACTACAAAACGGGATAATCCCTATTCTTGATTCATAGGCACAGTAAAGATACGTGCAAGCTCTCATATGACAACAATAATAAATATCATGCATATGGCCATAGTTCAAATTGACACTAACAAGCACGATGAGTATTTGACAAAAAGGAAACTTATCACCTGGGACCAAGGTAGCAAAAAGATCCATAATCATAGGTGCAAATCGAATGAGTTGTTCGTTGGTATTTTGTTGAGGATTTTTATCAACCACCTGATCTGCACCGTTGCTTAAATTTTCCTCCACCTTAGTGCAGCCTCGCCGATCCTCCTCTGATTCTCCATCGCCTGAATCAAAGTTTATCTTCATTGCATCGAAAGATATTTTAGAATCTATAGACAAAGTATCAATTTGTCCAATCACTTTAGGCATGAAAGAATCTCGTCCAACATGAGGAACTAATTGAGCTTCATCATTTGAAAATTGAGAATGCATTGCAGTCACATTACTTGGGGAGGTTTCATCAAACACCTCGTCTATGACAGTCGCATACTTGTCTCTATCAACTAGACGAACCTTGGGTTCATGAGTTTCCGGGATTTGAGTAGATGAAGGCTCATAAAAGCTGGGAATATGACTCTGAGCAGCAAAAGGAGACACATAAGTCGACGGTAGAACCACTGTAGCACAACTCATGTAGTCAACACAAGCTACTGAAATATCTGTCGTTCTCGCTGAATCAGTGAAGGTCGGTGTCTGAAAATGCAGAAGAAATTTCTCCTTGAAATGGTTCCAATCATAGAATTGGTTATTGCGAAATAACCAATTGAACCGAGGAATCGCCTTCTAGGTAGAAGGAAGGAAGAGACAGTCAATCCTTCTTGGAGAAGCCAAGGAATGCGAAGTATAACTCGGCTCGAAAATTCCAGCTTTCCAGGTTGCTATCGCCACTGAATCTAGGAATAAACATCGTCATCGTAACAAACCAGTTATTCAACACTTCTATTACTTCAACCGCAAAAGGGATTACAACTCAACTCAAAACTATTATAGGAATTAGAAATGCTAAACAGAAATACAAATGATAGAGAAGAAGGGATGAGAAACTCATACTAAGAATGAGGATGAGAGGATACAGAATACTCGAGAAGGAAGATGAGGAGAAATAGATATTTTACTCTAACAATATGCATAACCCAAAATCACAGACCATTGACTCTTATAATAGAACCATTCTTATGCCTACTACTCAACCAAGATCCCAAATTAACATGGCCATGTTGCTTGTTCTCAGCCCAATAACACTAGTCAGCCCAATAGCTACTTGTGTGAGATTGAGCTGGTGTTGATTCATAACAAAACCTGTTACAGATCTTCTACAATGTTGGCATGCAGCACAATCTGCATCACAGAATACCTCTAATGTGCCTGTGGTTTTGCTGGACATCAATAAGCCTTGTCCGGGATGGTTCTTGACATATTTAACAACTCTCATTGCTGCCTCCATATGTGATCTCTTTGGTTGCTGGAGAAACTGACTTAGCATTTGCACACTGAATGCCAAGTCAGGCCTTATCACAGTCAAATATAACAGCTTGCCTATTAATCTTTGATAGACACCTGGATCTGGTAGTAGCGCATTTACATCATTACTTGAAGTACCAAGGTGGTCATCATACTCCTTGGTAGTCAATTTTGCATTCACTTCTAGTGGAGTAGCTACATGTTTTACTGCTCCAAGTCCAAGTTCAGATATAATCTCTAAAGCATATTTTCTCTGATGCATAAGAATCCCATCTGCAGATCTGGCAAACTCTATTCCTAGAAAGTATTTCAACTCTCCAAAATCTTTCATTTTCTATGTCTGTTGTAGTGTTGTCTTTGTCTCTTCAATTAGATGTAGAGAGGTACCAGTGACTAGCATGTCATCTACATACACCAGCACTATCACTGTGCCTTCAGTAATCTGCTTGATGAATAAAGAGTGATAATATTGGCTCTGAACAAAGCCAAATTGATATAGAGCTTATGTGAGTTTCTCATTCCACTGTCTAGGAGCATGTTTCAGGCCATATAAGGATTTATGAAGCATGCGCACTGGTTGAGACTCCCCCTGGCTTCTGAATCCTGGTGGCAATTGCATTTAGATCTCATAAAAGAGATCACCCTAAATAAATGCATTATACACATGCATTTGATGAATGTGTCACTTCTGAGTTGCAACTATTGATAGAACAGTCCTCACAGTCATCATTTTCACTACTTGTAAAAACGTTTCTTGATAATCAATTCCCTTATTTTGACTGTACCATTTAACTACCAACCTAGCCTTGAATCTCTCCACCCCACCCGATGCCTTGTATTTGACCTTATATACCTATTTACAACCAATTGGAACCTTGCCTTCAAGAAGTGAGACAATGTCCCAAGTGTAATTTCTTTCCAATGCTTCAATCTCTGCCTTCATAGCCTATGTCCACCTAGGATCTTGAATGGCTTCAGCATATGTAGCAGGTTCTGCAATAAAGGAGAAGACTGCAAGGTAAGCTTGATATTGGGGAGACAAGCCATTGTAGGAGACATAGTTTGCAATTGCATACAGATGCATGTACATTCAGTGACACAAAGTCCTTTATACAAATAGGAGGATTATTTGGTCTAGAGGATCTTCTAACTTCTTCTTCTACAGCTGAGGGTATAGTTGGCAGTTGTTGAGTAGATGGAACCTGCACTTGACCCTGATCAGAACTTGCTCCAGTTGGATGAGCCAAGAATGATTCTCCTTCACTCCCACCTGCAACATCATTGTCATGAACATCCTCATTTGTATCACTGGAGACATCTCTTATATCTGAGTGTGTCAACTCAGCCTCATGCTCACTGTTGTGTCCCATATCAAAAACTGTCGGGACCCCTGACAGTTGAGTATAGTCTGCAGGAACATCTGGCTTTAGGAAGATTGGTAGATATTTATTTCTTGTATGTCTAAAAGGAAAGATAGTCTCTTTGAAAACAACATCCATGTTAACAAAAAAAGAGTGATTAGTTAGGTTTAAAAGCACATAGCCTTTCTGAGTTGCACCATATCCCATCAATACTGCTGGTATAGCTCTTGACATGAACTTGTCCTTTTCTTGAACTGCTTTGGCATAGCATAAGAATCATAGTACTCTTATATGTTGTAGTGAATGTTTTCTGTTGTGCAGCTTCTGGTAGGGTGACACTCCATTAGTAACTAAAGAAGGCATCTTGTTGATTATGTGTACTGCAGCTAGTACACAGTGTCCCCAGTATTTTAGAGGTATATGAGCTTGAAATCTCATTGCTCTAGCAACCTCTAAAATATGTATGTGCTTCCTCTCAGCTACACCATTTTGCTGAGGAGTATATACACAGGTTTTCTGATGAATCATCCCAAGGTTACTAAACAGATCACTGTAAGTTGAATTTATAAATTCCAGTCCATTGTCTGTCCTGATATTCTTAACATACTTGTTATGCTGTGTTTTTACATAACACAAGAAGAACTTCAAGACCACATATACATCTGACTTATACTTCAGCAAAAATAACCATATAATTCTAGAAAAGTCTTCCACCAAAGTTAGAAAGTATTTATTTTCATAAAATGTAGGCACTCTATAAGGACTCCATACATCTGCATGTAGCAATTCTGAGTTTTAGCAGGAAATAACTTCTTTAATACTACAGAAGATACATGTCCTAGTCTCATATGCCACAAGTCAATATCCTGCTTCTCCTTAGGTTCTGTAGAGTCCTTGACTGTTAGTGCTATATCTAGATTGCTCTTATTTATGTGAGGGATTAACATATAGAGGCCATCATGTTCTTTACCAATCTCTTTCACCCTCCCACTATAGAGATCCTGAAATAGGCAAAAATCAGAATAAAAAGCAACACAAAGAGTATGATGACCACTTCTTAATCGTGGGACATGTAGGACATTTTTTAGTATACTTCTTGCTGAAATTGGGCTAGTACCCATGTGTGTAACATAGACTACATCTCCAATTGACATATATACCTTCTTAGGATTACTAGGTTTGATCTCTGCTAATTTAGATAATAGATTTAAATCAGACACCATATGATTTGTAGCCCCTATATCAATGATCCACTCTGGAGGCTTATTACTCACTTAAAAGACACAGTTAGTACTTGTTGTGTGTGCCATGTTTGCCGAGGAAGCAGTCAGAGAACTTTTATTCAGCATTTGTAGGATCTGTTCATATTGTTCCTTAGTAAATGTATAGGCTACTAGTTGTCTTCCTGATGAGCTGTCTCTTGAGGTTGAGGGTTGCCTCTGCATTTGTACTCCAGACTGAGCTGAAGTCTGCATTTGTTGAGACTGATAATTGCACCTGCATGAATGGTTGTACCTGAGTATAGAAGTTCTGATTTGGATCTTCGATACAAACATTATAGGCTGCAACTCCCCCTTTCTTCTTAGACTTGAAACCTTGTGGATAACCAATGATCTTCCAGCAATTCTCCTTCTTATGACCCTTCTTCTTACAGAAGTCACAATAGTCACTGTAGGTTCTCTTCTTCTTAGAGTAATTTCCAGACTGTTGAGAGTTGTTTGGCTGAAAGCTGGATTGGAAACCACTAGATCTGGAGGAATATAGGGCAGTTAACTCATAACTTTCAACTGGAATAAGAGATGTCAGTCCTAAATTTCCTGTTATGGAAGTTATAGACTTTTGGTTTTCATCACTCATAATCATAGAGAATGTCTGATTGACTATAGATAAATGGTACATCAATAGTATTTGACTCCTTGCTTGAGCATAGGAGTCGTTCAATCTCATAAGGAATAGATATAATTTTTATCTCTTCATAAAGGCAACATAATCTCTGGAATTCTCACAGTCAATGGAGCAGGGACTAATGCTTCAAACTCATCCCAGAGGTCCTTCATCTTAGTGTAATAAACAGAAACAGAGGATGTACTTTGATATAGGGTTGCAATTTCCTTGTGTCGATTGAATGACCTAGATCCATCTACTTTGTCAAATTTCTCTCGCAAATCCTCCCAAATAGCCTGTGCACTAGCTCCAAATACCACTCCTCCAACGAGCTGTGGAGTTACAACATTCATCAACCATGAGAGTACAATTGCAATGCACCTCTCCCATTGTTCCCATAGATTTTTACGATTTTTTTCCTTTTTCCATGTTCCTTCTACCAGCCCTAGCTTATTTCTTCCTCGCAGAGCTATCCTCATAGATCGATTCCATATAGTGTAATTGTCAGTACCTCTTAATTGAAATGAGATCAATTGTGCTCCACTCATATCTGCAGGTCCAAGGTATAATGTATGATTATGAGGCAAATCAACTCTGAATTCCTCATTAGCTAGAATATTTTCAATTCCTGCATCTACACATTTGGCGGCATTAGCCGTGGTGTTGTCAACAATATCTCCCATGGCTAATCTACTTTAATTGACGAGGCTTCGATTTTCAATTGATTTTTCTAAATCTAAGAATTTCACCAATGGTGATGTGAATCGATGAAAGAGACCAATAATTCCTAGTCTTATGGCTCTGATACCATGTTAAATTCTATAGATCGAGCTATATAAATCCTAGGTGATAAGAAAGGGAAGAGAAGAAGGGAATGAGCTGAATTAGAAATGCAGAAACTGATTCTGTTAAAACTGAAAATACACTGTACAAACGATCCCTATTTATAAAAATGAATAACTAACTTTGGACTCCTAACTACCTAGTGTTAAATAAACTAAACTACCCTTAATTTGTTACACATTAAGTCACCCCTTACCTATCAAAATTCTAATTAAACTTACCTATAAATCTACAGTTCTAACTTGATCATAAAGAGTGCTCAGTTATATACTTCAAATCCATGGCTTCTTCGGCAACTAAAACTTACTGTAACATGATCCTTCCTGACAGTAATAAATACAAGTCGATTGATTTAAGTCAAACAAAAACAATTAATTACAAGAAAATAAAAAATCGGAAATTGTTTTGTTTTCAGGAACAACTGATCGTATTGAAATTAATTGTTTTTCCCCCGGTTAATATTGTCTTTTATAATTATTAGCGGAAGGATTTTTGTTACTTTACTTACTATTATAGAAGCCATTAACGAGAGCAGTTTAGGGTCAACGTTTCTGCATAAGCTGTATGCTTAAAAGCTGGCGTTC